TTTTCTGTGGGGTTGTTATCATGAATTGGTGTTGATCTTTTTTTAAAAAATTTTATTTATTTATTTATGTGTGTGTGTGTGTGTGTGTGTGTGTGGCCAGCTCAGTCCACCAGGGGGTGGGCTGGCTGGCATGTGGTGCTGGGGGATTGAACCGTGGTCCCTGTGCTTTGCTAAGCTTGTTCTAAGTAGGTGCTTTAGACCACTGAGCCATCTCACCAGCCCTGGTGTTGATCTTTATCAAATGTTTTTCTTCATCTGTTGAGGTGATCATGTAGTTTTTATTCTTGTTTCTATTAATGTGCTGTATTACATTTATTGGTGTGCCTACATTGAACCATCTCTGCATTCCTGGCGTGAATCCTACTTTGTGATGTTGAATGATCTCCTTGGTGATTTACTGTACTCTGTTGGAGAATTTGTTGTTGAGGATTTTTGCATCTATGTTCATTAGGAAGTTTGATCTGTAGTTATATTTGATGGGATTCTTCTCTGGTTTTTGTATCAGTGTAATCAAGCCTATAATAACTTGATGTCCTCCAAAATCTTCCTAAGAAGCAAAAGCAAATAGCAAAAGATTGTTTGATTGGCATGGTGAATACTGTTACATATTATATTTTGTCTCTTATTTTCCTCTAATCCTGTTCTTATTGGTCTCAGGTAATGGAATTTCTTGGGAAGTCCTGCTTTCCAGAGATAATGCTTCCTTTCTGTAGTTAGTAATATTTATTGCTCTTTGTCTTTGCTGGTTGTGTACTGAGAAATGTTTACTTTTTAGCAAGGCATTTTTGCTTTCCCTCCCAAGTTTCCACAATGTTTCTAATTTCCACATTGCCATCTAATTCCAATGCCACAGAACTTCTGATTTCAGCCACTGGAGTACCATTGAAATCTTGGCAAATAGCTAAAGACATTAAAACCTGTGGGTCACATAAAACATGCCTCTTAAGCTTTTCCTTTTATCAGTTTAACCTTAATATGTAGCTCTTCAGACCTTAGGTTTTTTTTTTTTTAATCATATGTCATCTTTGATCTTTCTTATCTCTGTTGGTCAGCACAGTGAGATGTGCCTGTAATCCCAGCACTCTGGAAAGAGTCAGGAGGATCACAACCTTGAGCTCAGACTGAGCGGCTTAGCAAGATCATGTCTCAAAATAAAAAAAAAATTCTGGAATTGTAGCTCAGGGAAAGCCATGATTTAAATCCCCAGTAAGTTACACAGACGCATGCATGTGTGCACGTGTGCGTGCTTGCACACACACACACACACACACACACACACACACACACACACACTATATGCAGAAAATTATCTGTATTTCTTCCTGAGATTGGTTACACTATTTAAATGCTTAGAGTTTAAAACTTTAACCTATGTTCATAAATTCTTTTTGTTTTTTAAGTGGGATAATGATACTCTATTTGTAATTATCTACATAGATAATAATCATGATTAGATTCTTAGTTCAGCATTTACTTAGAACTCAGAAAACTCATAAGTGACACAATTTGGTGCCATTTGATTATTGGATCATTCTATGAATTCCACATACATTCTTTGCCAGTAGATTTTAGTGAAAAAACTTTTCCTGTAGTATTTATAGTATTGTCTCTGAGTAAAACATGAGTATAGTACTGAATTCCTAGGAATAGATGGCCAAAATAAAATACCCTAGTTTTGATGGTTTTGCACTATTGCTTTGAAGAAAAGTTTAGGTAACTGAAATTTTATTTAAAGAAGTTTCTTAAATTATTGACACTTGCTGTTCAGTAACTTCTTTTGCCTTTTCTGATTGCTGCAGAAATATTTTATAGATTTATTAATCACTTTTGTAAACCTAGTCCCAAATGCTATTTTTTTTTGAATTGGACCTTGAAGAATGAAGTTGTTTTCATTTTT